ACTCAAGACCTTAATATCATCTGCAAATTTAAGTAATTTATTAACTATTCCTTCATCAATGTCACTGATGTAAATCAAAAAGAGCAAAGGTTCTAAGACTCAGCCCTGAGGTACCCCACTTCTGACATTAATCCAGTTTTACTGAACTCCAATTGTAACAACCCTCTGCTTTCCTCCATCCAGCCACTCTTCTATCCAATTTGCTAACTTATCCCCCACACCTATAGAGCTAATTTTTTACAAGCCTTTTATGTGGCACCTTGTCAAATGCTTTCTGAAAATCCAGATACACCAAATCTACACCCTTAACCTCATCTACATAAACAGTAACCCTTTCAAAGAATGTTTACAGATTTATAAGGTAAGATTTTCCCTGAGTGAAACCATGTTGACATCCAACAAAATTCTAAACTTTTTTAAATAACTTTGAAAAGCATCTTTTAACAGATTTTCCAAAACTTTTCTCACAACTGATATAAGACTAATGGGTCTATAATTACTGGGACAATTTTTATCACCTCCCTTGAAAAGAAGAGTTACATTGGCTAACTTCAAATCCTCTGGTACCTGCCCACTATTCAAGAACTGAAAAAAAAAATAGTAGTAAGTGGCTCATATATCCAATCTTTAACCTCCTTCAAAACCCTTGGGAAAATATTATCTAGCCCAGGAGCCTTATCATTTTCAAAACTTCCCAATTTTTTTCTTAACCAGCTCAGAATTAATGCAGTCATCTTGTTTGATCTTGTTTCCATTTATCAATTGTTCAAGATGTAGAATACTGCTTAAATCTTTTTTAGTAAAAATCAAAGAAAAAAGCAAATCAATCTCAATAATAAGATACTAGCCTTCCTTTATCCTTTATCTTACCCCCATCCTAACATTTTTTTACCCTTAATGTATTTAAATAAATCCTTACTGTTAATTTTTACAATTTTAGCCAACCTTTTCTGATACATCCTTTTTGATGTCCTAATTTCCTGTTTCACCAACTTTCTTGATCTTCTACAATCTTCTAAATCTCCTGTTATAACTTCATTTACAAAATAATTCTTTATGTACATACTTTATATATGTAGAAATTAGATATGCATATATACATGTGATTTCAGTAAAATTTTCTCTCAATAACAGATATTATTTTTATAAAAACACATGATATATTTTTTTGATTTACTTTAAAAGCTGCACCCATAAGTACTGTTTCATATGGTTTTTTGGTACAAGAACTGTATACATACCTTTTTTGGGCTCAAGGCTTCCATGTGAATCTCCCAAACCAAGACATCCACTACAGTTTGAACCAAGAGCAAAGACTTCATCATCTTTAGTCACAATTATGGCTTCATTTCCAGAGCTTCCAAAAACACAAGCTAATTTCACATTTGACACAGTTTCAGGTGCAAGGGTACTGAATATCAACCATTTGTCAATATCAGTCATAATTGCTTTAATTCACACAGTCAAATTTCAAGAGACCAAGAACTGACACATGAACATAACATTCTTTAATAACATGTTTCGACCAGTTACAGTTAATAAAGATTATAAGATGGCTGTAACCTGAAAAATAAATTAATAAGATCAGTAAATACCATAAATTTAGAGAATTTATTTCTTGAATTCAAACAAATTTTCAGAAAGTTTTGCCACAACACACCCATAACTTAAGGGGTTTGTAATCCTATAGGGCCTACATGTTCAGTCATGATCATATCTTAGATTTTTTAATGAAAAATGTTATTCAAAATAGTACATGTTATATAAAATTCTGTACATATAAATGAACATGTAGCACACATTTCCTTATATTACATTTATAAACACACTGTAATGCCCTGCATTTCAGTACCTTTTGTAAAGACAAAGAGATTGACATTTTAATAACCAAAATATAAAATCAGGTTATCACACTAGCTTGTGTTCTCTAATTACAGAGATACAGCATTGAGAACCAAAGTATTTTTACTTAGTCTACATCTATGTACTTTTAAATTAGTAACATGAAAAAAAAACAAAAAAAAACATTCTACACATTTTGTTCCTATATTAAGTTTGCCATCAGAGATTACAAATCTTATGAAACTACTTATGCCACTGAAATTCAATATAGCATTTGTAACTGTAAAATAAGTAAAAGTAATCTCACTTCAAGCCTAAAACCTTCATTAAAAATTAGGAATGCTTTCCAAAACGTTTCATGCTTTCCTTCACAAGTATTTTGTTAATGAAAACTTATCATTTTCTAAACATCCTGTAGCATATGTTATGCAATATAGTTACAGGTTTTACAATTAAAACTAGAAATAAGATTAAAACTTTTACAGATAAAACTGAAAATGACTCGTAACTTGCCAAAATTTGTGTACCCTAGTCTTACCATTCCAACAATTAAACAAGAAAAAACTTAAAAGATGATGCATCAACACTATCATTTCCCTTAACAATAACAATTTTAAACACATTACTCATAGTCATATGGTGAATACAACTACTTACCAGTTTAAAAAGTTAAACTTACAAGTTACAATGTGTTGTATTAAAACTTTAAGTTCAAAAAATTAAAGCTGCAAACACAAAACAATACATGTTATAAATGACAATAAACTGTCGGATATTTATTTATTTATTACTTCAGTAATTGTACTTCCTAAACTTGTACTGTGGGTGATTAAAACTTATACTATATAGTATACAACTTAAAAGTCAGTTTCTACTTACAGTCTGTCTTACAATATTATTTTAATAATTACTAAATTAGCCTTACCTCTCAATCAAAACTAAGAATTACATACAAACAGAATTCGTTCTACACTTTTACTAATAGTAATAGCTTAAATAAGTAATATTCAACTTGTAAGTTGTATTTAATGTATTGTTCTATTTTATTGCCAATTATGAAAAAGGCGCTACCTATGAATATCAAGGTTCAACTTGGGGTAAATATAATAATAATAATCTTTAATAATCTTAAATATTGGAAAATAAATTATTATACGGAGGAAAAACTAGTTTTATATGTTTTGTATTCGTTTGCAATTATGCACTAAGCTACACAATGGGCTATCTGTGCTCTGCCCACCACAGGTATCGAAACCCGGATTTTAACGTTGTAAGTCCGCAGATATGTTTTGTAAGTAAACTATATTAGATTATTTTTGTAATGTTAGTTTAATTTAATGGTTAAAATATCTAACATATTTATTTTGATTATGCTTATAAAAAAATTATTGTGCTTTGTTAGCTTAATATTTGTAAAGTTACAACTAAGCAAAATCTCCACTGCTAGCCAAACTTCTTGAAACAGTAACACTGGGACTATAGTCGAAAATATCGCTGACAATTGTGTTATGTGGTTTATGAATGTGAATGTACCTGCACCTAGTTAGAATGGTACAAAACTAAACTACAAACATCTTTATTTCTGACTTATGTAGGTTGCTTGCTTTGGACAAAAGTGAATGATAGATACAACATGAATTGGTATTGCGACATAGTAAATATGTATTATACAACTGTATATATACGTGTGGTTCATAGATACTTAATATCAAAAACAATTGTATACAGATAATATATAACTCAGTTGTAAAACTGAAAAAATAAGGTACTCATCTGCTTTAAATTAGTCATATGCCTCCTTGCGTGGTGTAGAACTCTTTAAAAGTTAACAAAACCAGTTTTAATTTAAATAACAGCTTAAGTTTGTTTTATATTGTTGTTGTTCTTCCTCATCAACATCTTTATCTCTCTCTTTGTGGTAAGGGGTTAACTAGCTATTAAGGAGATTAATAACAGTTGATGAATAATAGGGAGCTCTAACAGAGTTATTTCATAAGCTTGCGCCTGTTTCTTGAAAACATTAGTATTCCAAGGATAAACCAAGTCACAGTTACCTAACATTCGCAATAATTTAAAGTTCATAGGGCTATAGTACGCACAACGAAACGTTTCATAATTTGTTACAAGTAGAATAAAAAAACACAAAATTCAATATGAATATCAATAAGCATGTGCTTTAGTGACTGGACACGGGAAAAAGAATAGTGGCTAATTGTTAAGTGGGAAAAAATTATAGTAGTGGAGACTGAAATAAAATATAATAAAATATTAATAAAGGAAAAACCGTGATTTAATGAACAAAGATGAAAATACACTTTACTGGAAGTTAAACCAATACACACACACAATTAGCAAATATTGAAAGACACAGACAATGAAAATTAGACTTTACTGACTAGTTCTGGTTCTACTGGACTTAATATGTTCCAAACTAGAATCTTAGAGTGAGACATGTAGGATTTATATATCACAACCACTACTCGTTTATTTTAAACTTTCCTTTAAGCAAACTTGAACTTAAGTTTGATACTAATTTAAAATTGACAACATGGTTTGGAAAATTCCATGAACATCACAACCCTCGACATATTGAATGTAGACCTAATGTCGTTACTGGAATAGCTACTAATTTCATTATTCGTATATAATAGGGAATATGTCGTTTTTTGTGCATATTCAAGTAATATTTTCAAAGTTACAAGTATACTTTGTGTCTGTACTTTATGCACATGAGCTCAACAGTTATACACACTGGTCTCCACAACCTTGCATAATGTCCTGTCACCATGATACTCACAAGGGTTGCTGAGATACAGAATCTATGACAAAGTTGCACTTTTGGCCATCCAGCTTTCCTGTAACGTAGACACTATGTGTGCTTGGCATTTTACACCTAGCTGTTGGGACTTTCACGATGGGGGTGGTGGGCGTCCCTCAACATCAGCTGCTACTGGTTTCCCCGAGGCTGACTTATTGATAGTATTCTTCTTACACTGGCTCCTCATATGTCCTTGCTCTCCATAGTTCCAACAACCTTTCTGGGTAGCAGCCTTTCCTGCCATGGCATCTTCCCTGTTTTGAAGTTGCTAGCATTGAGCTCTCTTGTGCCCAGGTTTGTTACAGTGCCAGCAAAATCCCTCAAACTTCTCCAAAAGCTGCCTTCTTCTGGCCTTGAATTGCGATGACTGTACCAACCTTGGTACCTCTGTGCTGGAATTAATGTAAGATTCGAATTCAAGAGATCTGGTCATTGCATCCTGCATGGTAAAGGGGTGTGCTTGCTTTACTTGTATCTTCAGTTGTGGACTGTCCAAGGCGTCTACAAACTGATCCCTCAGCAACAACTTGAGGACATTGGGTGGTGCAGTGGGGTAGGCCTTGTGTGCCATACTTTCCCAATCCTGTGCCAGCTCTTGCAGGCTTTCTCCTTTAGCATGAAATCTTGTCCTAAACCTAGCCCTGTAGACTTTGGACTGATTTTGAGTTCCATACCTGAGTTTTAGAGCAGCTACAAGTGCTCTATAGTTGTGCTTGTCATCTGCTGACAACTGTCCAAGTATTTCCCGTGGTTGTCCCTTCAGGCTCGTTGCGAGGTACTCCGCTTTCTGCTCCTCTGTACATCCATTCAGTTCTGCCAGTAGCTCAAATTGTGCTCTATATGCTTACCATCAAATTCCTGTGGCTTCCTTCGTACTAGATCACCCCTATTGCTGACACTCGTGTCTGGAACGTGACTTCTGGCAGAACTGAAGATATCTGCATTAAGGTTTAGCTGCGGGGTCTGGAAGGGGCTTCTTGTTGTCTGGGGCTGATTAGGTCCATGGCTAATATATCCTCCTTGTGTAAAAGACAGTAAATCATCCTTTAATGTATTTAATTCACTTTGAAATTTACCAATGTTTTTCATTTGTACTTCTTGCCATTGTTGTTGACTTTCCTGTAGTTGCTGCTGACTTTCCCGCAACTGTTGGATACTTTCTTCCTGTTTCCTTTCTTGTTCCGGTTGCCACTGCTGTAGTCTCTTTTCTTTCTCCTCCAACCACTGCTGTAGCCTCTCTTCTTGTTTCTTTTCTTTCTCCTCCAACCACTGCTGTAGTCTCTCTTCTTGTTTCTTTTGCTGTTCTTGTATTGCTAAGCTGTAGTTTGATTTGCTACTTCTCGTTTTCATCTTCTTATCTTTTCTTTTTTATTCGGTCCCACTCTCTGACACCAATTTGTAATGTCTCTGGTCGTTTGTTAATTTCCGGTA